TCAAGACTACTTTAAAAAATTACAACAATGTTTGGCTCCTTGAAAGAATAATCAAAAGAAATGATTGGTGGCACATGGCTTTCAGATACTAGTGTCGGTGCTAAACAATGACAAATCTAAGAGATGAAGGATGTTGAAGGCTCTGGCAGACAGCAATGAGGTGATAAGATCAAAGAGTCAAAGCCGTATAGCATAGGAAAGTGGCTTTAGACATTACTATGGTCCCACGTGGATTCAAACCCTCCACGAACAGTAAAGCCATGAATGCACTTCACAGACCTTTCTGTCTGAGCAGACATGAGCTGGAGCTGAGGAACATTAATAATGGCTTCAACCTACTATGTAATGCAATTCAATGCAGCATTAAAAATGTTATTGGTTCCACCTAACTGAGAGGTCATCGTGTCTGTTGTCAGCTAGGCCTGTTCAATGCATATGAAGTGAATCATTTATAAACAGCGCAAAAGCATAAAGACACAGTTTTGGTACCGCCATCTGTGTTGCATTTAAATTGCCAAGCATGTCACAGTTTTAAGATTTTGACTGCTTTCACACAACAACGAATAAACCATCCCCACGAAAATGTGGCTCTCCCTCTTTAACGGAGGCCGTAAGATGTGGTTAAATGCTTTAAAGACTAACCAAGCTTGACCTCGTTGAGACTGTTTTTCTTACCATGCTGAGCTTAAAATGCACATAATTAAATAACAAAAACACATTTGTCAGGCATTAAAAAAATACTCGGTAACAGTAATGACAGAAAACTCCAGGTGGAGTACAGAGGTGGCCCTCCTATCTTAAATTTTGGTAAACCTTTATTTAAAACGCCCCGCGTGTCTATGAGTAAAGACATTTTTTATCCTGGCTGGGAATCGTCTGCACAGCTGGCAGCGGTGTGCTGTCATCATAGCACCATTTTTTCCCTTGAATAGTGAAAACAAAGTAAAAATGACTAAATAAAATACAGCACATTACTACACATGATGATACAATAAACCACAAAGATACTAAAAAAGGCTGAAATAACAAAGCTCTGGGGGGACATGTGTTCCTTTTCTGAAGACTTATACATATTGTCAGCGCCATCACTGCTTTATGCGAGTGAATACGAGACAGTTTTGTGGTCATCTTGTAGCATTTTCCCAGGTTACCTGTTCCAAAATGGAGACAAATACAAGCTGAGCGAGAGGAAAATATTCAGGCAATGACAGAGCTATGCAGAGGAAAAATCCCCTTTTGAACAGCTGCTGGTTACTATAAAACACGAGATAAACGCTAACATAATTGGGATTCCATGATTTCAGAGTGGATTACATAATATCGATGCGCTGTTTAATACTGTATCCACATTTTCTTCTGCCTTGATAATTTTTTAAGCATACTTGGTAAACGCCCGTGAAAATGCAGAATGAGAGTGATGACTTCACAAGCAAGACGGGTTCCAGTGAAAAGCACTGAGAAGACGGGAGATGGGGCTAGTAGAAAGAATATGAGCTAACAGACTGCTGCAGTTTAAGACTGCTGGCGGCTCTGATTTTGAGGTGGGGTTGGAGTAGGGACACTGAAATTTGTCTTAATGAGAGGGTGAGAAAGTGTGGGTGGAAAAGAGCTTCAGAAGTAACTGAAGTCACCACCTTCTGCTGCCCTGCCATGTCTTCTGTGCAAGCAAGCCAGGCAGCAGCTGATGGCCACTCATTCTGCTTTTGGCAAAAACAACAACAGCATCATGCAGCATGATTGCATGCAAGATGTTGCTGTATATGTTGCATCACATTTTAGGCACACAAGCGCAGACACACCGCCCCCTGAGAAACACATTGCAGGCAATGTATTAGCGGCAGCACCACGACAATTTTGTTGACTTTGCTTTTAAAACTTTCTATGAAATGTATTAACTTTGAGGCTCCTGTCACATTATATTACATTTCATAGAAATACTAAATATTATTACAGAAAGCAAGCATGACTGCAACAAGGCCTTATTGTGCCCAACTGACCTTCTAGTTCTTCTAGTTCAAGAACTTTATGGAGAGTTCTCGTAAGGTTTTTTTTGATGGTTTGGTTTGGCTTCTGCATGACATTTTTATAAATGTGGCGGACAAAGTCACAATTGCACATACAACAAGAGAATTTTGCTGCACGTGCACATGCAACCCTGACCAAGATGAGGTCAGTGTCCCAGCTAAATCCCTCTCTGCTCATGAATCAATGCACAGCTTGTCAGCAGCGTCCCCTTCGTTTGCAAGAACTTGGCTGATATTTCAAGAGCTAAGAGTGTTCATGGAAATGCTCACAATAGGGGCACAGAGCAATGGATGCCTCAGCAAGCCTAACAAAGCCTCTAGGTAAATTCTTTCAGTATTAATTTTTAAGACAGACATGCTTTTTATCTCTGCTAGCTAAAATGATCTTTTCATTCACAAAAGGTTTGAGTGCCAGTTTTCAGTTTGCATGATACAGTGTAACAAAGTTCAGCATTCTGCCTTAATAGAAACAACATTTAGGCACGGAAAGCCTGTCTGCTTTTAATCGAAAATAAAGTTTTTACTATCTTATTTATTTATTTTTTGCAGACCTCATTAAAGTCTGACAATGCTTTTCACAATGAGCACTGGAAATAATATAATCAGTTGGTCCCTGCAGTTTTAGTGACATTTGGTGATATTTAAATGCTTTGCCCCACCCTGTATGTAAATATCCAGTCTTAAAAAAACACATCTATATATTCGAATCCATTTTAAACCATCAACGCAATCGCAAATTCTCCTGTTATTTGAAACCACTGCTGTCCTAAGAATGCCTTTCACTCACACATCTTCTGGCCAGGACTTTACACAACATGACACTGACCAGAGCAGTGCAGACAAGGGAGGGACATTTCCCCTGTGTGTGTTCATATATATCTTGCCTGTCAACGGGTGAACCACTTCCGATGATGTCCACAGCATCAGGCCATGTTGACTGATCTTTGTTCCTCTTTGTTGGCTCTCAGCGTCAGGGATACAGACAGTGACCAAACCACCTAAACTTAGCCAAGATCCTACAGAACTACACCCTAAAACCACAAAATCAGGAGTGGGTCTCACTCCCACTTTCCCTCAATATGTTTGTGCCACTCAAGGTGACCCCGCTGACATTTTACAACAACTGGGAAAGCCTGCTTAACCACAGCAATCTGGAAGTGCATCTCAGCTTATGATAACATTTCCTACTTCCCAATTAGTCTTGGGCCAGCATCCTGGTATAACCTTGTGGGAAAAATATGCTCTGATCAGCAGAGTTTGGAAGTGAACCAGCATGTCCCACCAAAGAAACTGGCAGTGCATTTTGCATACCCCAATGCGCTGGACATCTAAAAGAAAAAAAGTTCTAGGTGGATCCTGATATGGCCAAAGAGCTTAGGTCCCAAAGTGATGATCCATGTGAATAGGTTTACAAGTTCTTGGCCTTATGGATTAAACAAACACAGAAGCTAACCATTCCTGACAGTTGGTGGGGTTTTCATGCTGAACTGGATAAAGACATGAACAGAATATCCAGTGGAACTTCTCTTTCTTCCCTGTGTCTCGCATGCATGTTCTGGCCAAAATGTAAGTTATTTTTCATTTTGAAGTGAGGATAATGTCATCATCACAAAGCAGGTGCTTTAACGGGTTGGAAAAGGGTAAAACATATAGTCAGTCCTGCCTGACAGTCTTCATTGGCTTTACTATGAGGAGATAGCGTGGGAACTTTGGAAGAAATTACTCAAGTAATAAACAGCTCTTCTGACAGAAATTACAGAACAGATGTGTAGGTGTTGCAGACCAGCAACACGTGGCAGTGAGAAAGAGTGAAAGAGAGAGAAGGTGAAAAGGAGAGAAGCTAGGAAGATAGCAGGATGGGAGAGAGTAAGAACACCAGAACAAAGTAGACAGAATACTATTCGCTGCCATGTTTTTACCTTCAATAACTAGATGTGAGTATACTTGGCTGGTGGCCCTAAAGCTGATCCTCTAGCTACCTAAGGTGCAAACATGAATTGCACGCATGTAGAAAATGTTCACCATTTACAACTGAACACATTTTGTCCTGTAGCCAGAAGTAGACGCTGGCCCTTCCAGGATATGTCAACTGAACAACTGAATAATTGACAAAGCCTGAAGTCTTGAAGGGCCAAACATTGTGCTGTTTTCCATCCAAAATATGTATCTGGAAAATATGAGGAAACGTCTGCACAATTCAAATACCATTTTTAATAATGTCCAGACTGAGAGCCATCTAAAACCAGAGCGCCGATATATTGATGAGGTCATTCACAATTTTTTTTAAAAGTCACAAATTATTTCGTTTGACTTGCATGAGTTGTGATGTTGTAACTACATAAAGTCATCTTAACAACAGAAGTCTGCATATGACCATAGTTTTGTCTCAATCTAATGGTGGTGCCAGATGCAAAGTTAGGAAAATAAGAAAGCGACTGCATTTAAACATGAATGTCTGTAACCCATTTAATGACAATCAGAAGTCACTGGGATTTATTTCCTGGATGCAGTGACTGTCTGTACAGAGTTGCATGGCTACCTGTGATATATGGGTGAACATGAAATCAGAAAGGAGATGAACCAAGCTGATTTCTACGAGATATGAGCTAAAACAGAGAAAAAAAAAAAAACAGTCAATCACACTCACACTTATGTCCAATTTAGAATATTTTGCCAGTTAACTTAAAATTTATGCCCCAGTCACACCAGTACAACCACACCCTTCTTGCTGTGACATGACAGTGACGACCAATGGACCATTTAACCGCCCCATCCAGTCGTAACACAGATTTTTTATTTTAGATGAAAACGTTGGACCGGTAGACCAACAGATATGCAGTTAGCCAAGCGAGAAAAAAAAAACTATACATGTTAGAAAACCTACTCAAATTAATTAACACAATTTATAATACATGATGACTAGTGGGGATGATCAGCAAACATAACAAATACACATGAAAATGCTGAGGGTCTGACCTGGGAGGACATGGTTGGGTGTTGCAGGGCATCAATCCAGTAGCTGGTCTTGATCTGGGATTGCAGTACGACACATTCACCTGCGCTTTCAAGTCTTTGTAGCATGCTGACTTGGTGTTCATTTGGCCTGCATAGGGTATAGATCAGTAAACATAGAAATGTTTAAAGAATACAGTTGTCATTTTGCATCAATCTGCTATTTAATATTTATGTTTGACTGAAGTGGCTTTAGCATCAGTGACTTCTTGCACAATTGCATATTGTGTTGATTAATCTAAGTAAACCTTAAATCAGGTTTTAAGACTCCTTTGATTATTATTTTAACTTAGGCAGAGTCAGTCTGTACATCTGAGCTAATATAGGTCACTTAGTCAGTCACACTCTTTAATAAAGCAAAAGACTCTCAACTCATCACAACCTGCAATCAGTATTCATTGAGGTGGAGGTGGCTAGGGGGTACTGCAGCAGACCGGGGTGGACAACTTTAACCTCAAGGGTCAATCAATAGGAATTCTACACTAAGAGCTTTGTTCACAGTGATGACGCTAAGAAAGCGCACATGCACAAATATAGCCATGCCTACACAATGCACCCTTGTTCCTCAACCTCTGGCCACAAATTACCTGCCCAGGGGACAAAGGCCACTGGTCGCAGGCAGGCATGTGTGTGCTTGCAATGTGTGTGTGTGTGTGTTTGTAATAGCAAGTCTCCAGCTGAATAAGGAGAGGTCCCATCAGTTTGAACCAAGAGCCTCTAATGTCCCCTCAGTAATGATGGGAACACGCTCGTCTCCATTTAACCTGGAGCTAAAAGACTGATTAAAGGTCAGAGAGGCAAGAACTAAGCTTTAGGCTTAGTCTACTGATCTACAAATTGTCCTCCTCATTTACGGTTTTAGATCAAGATTAGAGGTGATGCGTGCTTTTTCATCAGTGCAACAGATTTTAAATTGCTTCTTAAAAAGTTGCATCTATGAAAAAACAAACATAAATCCAAAAAAATAAAAATGAAAAACAAAGACATTGCATTTTTTTTAATGTTTGCTCGTACCTCCAGCACAAGTGGCTGAGCACTGGGAGCGTATGATAGCCCATGTATAATTGTGCTTGATGCGGTTCTTCATCAGTTTCTCATCAGCTTTCTTTAGAGTATATTCCCAATGCACACCAGGATTCCAGCCCTGCAACAGCACCTAAAGGAAAAAAGGTAATAAACAGGCAAGTAAGTCACAAAGAAAAAGGAGAAGGAAAGTAGGTCTTAATCATGTTACTGAGACCAATGACCTACTACCTCTATTACTAGAGTCTCATTGGTGGGACCGGCTGATATGAGACTCTCTGGTCTGTTATATGGTCTTTTGTACTCGAAAATTGCTCCAGCAATGGGGTGTCGGCCAGGCCAGTCCACGGTCCAGTGGCCATTAAGGTAGTAGCGTCTATGTGTGTCCCTGACAGCCAAGTAGGAGGTGGAGGAATTCAGTTCAATCACACGGATGCTCCGAGCTCCAGCTGGGATGGTTATCACTGCATAGTACTCTGAGAAATATTAGAAGACCTTAAATAAGCATTAAAAGTGGCATAAAACTCCAGCAAACAAAACAAAATGTTAATAATATGATATTAGGCTACACAGATTTTATGGTGAGGACTGCACCATACAAAGTTTGTGGGACATGAAAACAAATATGAGGTTTTAAAACATTTCCAATAAAATCGCTAAAGACCAATGAAGTGAATAATTCATTTGTGACGTACGGTTAGTAAAATGCTGTTTTGTGTACTGTCCTTTGTAAATCTTGCAGGTGGAGTTGTCTCCTTTACACACCCCACAAGCATCGGGCACAGCTGTGGAGCCTAAAACACGGTCACAGCCAACTCTCTGTGGAAGAAAACCATCAGCGCTTTTGATGACAGTGTAGCTCACACACATAAAAACACAAGACTGCGTCACGGTACGCATTCGATTACAACATTTACAAAATTCCAACATTTATTATGTACGTGGTGACAGGTCAATATTTTACTATTCATTACACCTAAAGTAGCAGACAGCAGGAGAAATAAAAGAGTCTATTGATGTTCTTTACTGCTTACATCCATTGTAAAACTTCATGAAGCCACTTGAAAGACTGCACGCCTTATACATAAATGTAGCACTTTGACATCAATGTTTGGTCACATCATGTTACTTTCCAACTTAACATTTAACATTACCTCACACAGTCCATCAATGCAGACATTAGAGCTGTCTGGTGAGCAGAGTGTCCCATCCTTAACTTTGCTGGCCAAGGCAAAAAAGAAATCATAACCTTCAGCAAAGCAGTAGAGCTTGCATAGATCTTGATCTGGAAGAAAAAGAAAATGGCCATAAAAAAGGCCTCTTTTATCATTTCAAATAATCTTTAGTTACAAGTTTTTTTTTTCAAATTTAAGAGGAAAGCTTTCTCACCATCCACTCTAGTGTATGGTCTCCAAGTGTAGTACCAGCCTCTGAACTGTTTGCCGTTGAACTCAGCACACTGTTGTGCTCTATAGTCAATGGTGTTCCTGGGACAGTCTTCAGTATTGCAAAGTTTGTATGACCTGGAGGAACCCTCGCAGAACTTCCCTCCGTATGCCGGTCTAAAGAGATGGATTTAAACGTGTAGAATTCAAGGTTTTTCTGCACGAAACACATAATAACATGCTTCCAGTATTTTATGGATCTTCTTTCTTCATCTTCTATCTGTGACTGTATGTTCGTGTTGAAACCCCAAACATGGGTGATAGTAGAGTGCAAAGTATTGAAATAATGTTAATGGTAATAAAACATTTAAGATAGTTTTTATCTGTAGAGTCTGTGAAATTCTGATTGTGTTGATCCATGAGCATGTTTCACTCCATATGTGTGTATAAGTGTGCCTTTGTGAAGGCTTGTGAAATCACAGGTGTATATCCTCGGGTTATGTTCCTAAAAATCTCTTGGATGGGACAAAAACAGCTGCAAACTCTCCAACCACTCTCTCTGTGTTGTGTTCTTTCGTTTGATATCTCTGCATTTCATCTTTCACCTTTTTAATCCCTTTTCTGTCATCCCCCCCTCCTCCTCCCACTTCATTCCACTTGCCTGTCTTTGTCCTTCTAACCCTTCACCACCAGCTTTCCTTTCCTTGTCTTTCTTTCTCCTCCTCACTCTCTGTCTAATTTAGCCCACCACTTGTCAGGATCTTGGCATGACATGATAAAAAGGAAGTCCCAGCATTTGGAATAGGGGCCCCTGACTGACTGACAGTGGCAATAATCATGAGTGACTGATGAGTTGGGGGCTAAATTAGCAGATAAGTGACAGACTTGTGTGACTTAATCACAATTCTTAATATACTGTTGGCCCTTAGTCAAACAATCAGAGGTACCACAGGCCATCCAAGTCTTCTGCATGTTATAGTAAGAAATTATACAACTAGAAAACTATACTTTGACAGATGATGACTTTTAGTAGACTTTTAACACCATTTAGTAGAACTGTTCGTAGTGTATTCAGTAGTAGTTCAAAGTAACACTTGCTGTGAGGACATGTGTTAGTGTGGTATTATCTGGCATGATAGTTAGCATATAGCTTAGCATAAAGACTGGATACGAGGATTAACAGCTAACAAGGTTTGTCCTGAGTCGGTCTAGAAACACATCTAAAGCTCAATAATCATTCAGTATATCATTATTCTTAATTCTTATCTTAATTGTTTAATTAGAACACAAACACTTATTTGTGATACTTAAAACAATATCAATGATAAGACTCCCATTCCAGGACGCTCCTAAGTTAATTTAAAATCCAAAAATTATTTTAGTCTGGCTTAAAAATCATTAAAAGTTTTTAAAAGGATACTAAGGACAAGTGGATGTGAGGACTTTTAAATATAGAGAAAACTAGGTGCCGCTTCAGTTTTTGTGTTAACTGTCAGCTAGCAATACAGACAGAAGAGGTTTTGAGTAAAGTTTGTAGTCACTTGTACATTTATGTTTTTCTAATGCTATGTAAGATTCTATGTAAATATAATGTCAGAGGCCATTGCTTTGTCTTTCCCTACCTGGGGTTGCTGCATTGCCTCTCACGATATGTAACGCCGCTCTCACAGCTTCTAGAGCATGTAGACCAGGAGGACCACTCTGACCAGTGGCCATGCTGAGGCCTTGGACCCTCATCACCCTGTTTCACACACTGGCCCCGACGACACCACTGAAGGGAACAAAAGAGCATTGATTTATGGGAAAGAGAAAGATGCAGCAGAATGGGGGTTCAAATAGAAACTGTCAAAACTAGACCCGTTTTTATCTTAATCACGAGTGAACTCAGAATCAGACTGCAGCATCGTGCATCTTTACCGTTTCTCATATGTAGCATGTGGCATGCATTTCTCATTATGGGGAATGCTCTGTTCTAGGTAGAGTGTGCTGCGGTCATTAATAGGATCACTGAACATGCTGGCTGCAAACTCACTGGCAAGTGCTATTCTAACATCCGTGCAAGTCTGTGGGACTGGACTTAACAGAGATTTTGCAGAGAAGAGCAGTGAGATTAAAATCTGTTTAATACTTAATTTGATTGCACTGCAAATGTGCCTTATTATGTTCACCTCTGCCACGTCAAGACATGACTTACTGTGCTTACTGTACTGTTTTGTTTTGTGTTTTTTTTAACTGTGGCCCAGTCCTGGTTACATGTTCACAGTCTACCAGTAAAACCTTTTCAAGGTCATCTCATGCTCTTTCAATTTTCAAAGACCAATTTCTCTTTCATTCTGATCTCTGGTGGACTGAAAAGCCATGTGCATATAGTGTTACTAGCTGCTTCTGACCAAGCAGCTTTCGAGCAGTGAACACTGCCAAATGTGTCCCTTAAGGCAGCAGGCAAAACCGAAGATTACACGATAGTGGATAAAAAAAAAAAAAAAAATCTTTAAATATGTTTCTGCACTTCTTTGGACTGCATGCAATGATGGTGATCGTACAGGGAAAACTCAAAGCCACAATCGAGTACATACATCAAAGGCCGAATCATTAATCAGCTTCAGTGTACTTCTTCTCCCAGAATTCCACACACACTGGTATTGCATAAGCTGTGCTATGTCCATACATCGAACATATGCAGCTGTTCTTGTTCTCACTATGTGAACAATAACTACACAAGAGACCACAGACCCACACGCCAGCATATGCAGACTCATGCACACCTCACCAACTAATCTCATGGTCCTTGACTAAGAACTAGAACAGCTGATTTCCCCTCAGTTTTCCCCCTGCGGCTGAGTGCCACAGATTCCTATGTGAGACAGTCAGTGTTTGTGCTTGGTTAATTTTCCCGTGGAGGGGGAGCGCGAGATTAAACCATCAAGTTTAATATATTGAGATGCAAACGTTGATGAGAGGCTGTCAGGGGAGTGAGGGTAAGAGAAAGAGCAAGCCTCGGGGGGGAATCATCTTGAAAAGAAGAATGAAAAAGAAAACAAAGAATAAATAAAGAGCGCAGATTGCTTTTTGGATCCAAGCCAATTGCATATTTCTGCCACATCAGCAACAAACGAACTGCAGCTGCTCCCTGAGGTAAAAGAAGGAAGGACAGAGTGGTACCTAGAGCAAAAGAAAAAAAAGGAGTTTTCATTTACACTACCCTCAAATGTACTAAATCAAAGTAAAGTTGCTGATTTGGCTTGAAAATAACTTAAATAGTCTGTGCTGGGATATGAGGCCATTGCTATGTAAGCAAAAAGCAGTTAAAACAAGTGTAGTATCACTCAGTTCAAGCCATTTGCTTTCAAATAGCTGGACTTAACACTACATAACAATAAAACACTCAATAAATGTTACTTTTATAAGGCTATGCACATCATTGTTGCTATTTCAGTGTATTCATAGCTATGGCTTATTGTCCTTTGCAGCTTACTGACTTAAAGGTCTGTGGTATCCCTAAGTCAAAGAATGTGTTTCCCATTTTTACAAGCTTTCCCCCGCTTATACTTTTACACGCTTGGTAATGTAAAGAAGCACACTGCCAAAACACTGCTAGGGCAACTGATATGCAGGAAGGAGAATTTGCCCTGAGAGTGAAGTCATTTTTCAATAGACGTGTTTAAATCCACTTTTCTTAAGTTAGCACACATAACAGAGTAAAACTCTCTTACTGAGTTGTGTTACTCTGTTGGATGGTATTTTTCTCACCAAAACTGAGAGGAAATGTGTGTGGGGCTCTTGTTTAGGCTGTCCTAAAGAATAAAGGCAATGTTTGCTAAATGCCATATCAATTGGAGGAACATTTTGGCTCCTTTGGCTATCAAGGAACAAAGGTTATCTTATTGGTGATATGACTAAAAGCTAACTCTATGCCCTGAATAGATTGTGGACTTTTTTTCCAGTGTACAAATGACATTTTGAAGAAGGTATCTTCATTTTCCTGCTAGTGGTTGGAACTGTCTTCCACTTCAAATGCCTCTAAGGAAATGGATAAAAGATTCCAGTAGAAGTCAGCGGCTCCCATGCCACTCATGTGATGCCACTCTTGAGGTGAAAAAGCCTGTGAGTGTCAACCCCTTTAACCAAACACATCGCCATACCCACACATGCGCACACACGCACTACATCATGTGTTAAGTCACCATATCGGGGCCGCAAGCAGAGCCCTCAGCAGCTGGCATGAATTTGGTCTCACACTTCCTCCCAACACGGTGGCACCACAGAGCCTTGCAGATATCCTGGAACAACATAAGAGAGAGAAACATGGAAACCTTAACTTACTTCTTGCTCCAGATTCCAGAAACTGGATCATCACGATCCTCCTCACAATAGCTGTAAACAAAGCTTGCAGTGGGGAAAAATGATCACTTGTAATAGCATTTTGATTTTGCCTCTTGAGAGCTAATAAAACATGTTGAAGGAATCTTGCTGAATCTGCAACTGTCTGAATAATTATTTTCTGGAGAGCTTCCCGTGTGCAGCAAATGTGAATCTCCAAAATATTTATGCTTCAGTAGCTACGGTAAAGACATCAGCATCGATACATAAATTCTGGTCTAAGTGGTTCCAACATCATCTCTGTTGCGGATCGACGTAGCGATCTTCAGCTTTAAGGAAGTGAAACACCAAAGTGAAGAAGTAACACAGAACATGAAGATTAGGACAAAGTATTAACAGGGCACAACTGTTTTACCAAACTTACATGATGTAATGGCTGTGTTACTCAGTCATTAAAGATTCAGCTGGGAGCACCGGCCTGTTTCCCTGCTCGCATTGCCTGAGAAACACAGCCTGCTGCTTTTTAACATGTCTACTCTGTTGCTATTTGAATGACTATATCAGATTTTGACAACTCAGTGCAGATGCTGACACACACCTCAGCCTCAGCTTGCTGCTGCCAAAAGCCACCATGGAATTCATCCCAAGGACTATTTGTCCATCTGTTTCGCTTGCTCGGGCCGTTTGTAGCAGTAAAATAATGGCAGAGAGCGGTTAGCGATGGGAGGAGAGACAGAGAGAAATGATGTACAGTGTGTCAGAGGCTGAGAAAGAAAGAAAAACGCCCATTAACATTATTCAATTTTTCCTATAGAATAGCCCATCCCTATCTAACCGCAGAGAGTATCATTTATTCCCTCCAGTGGTACCTTATCTTGACAACAGCTGCCAAAAAGTTTAGTGAAAAAAGAATTCATTACACCATGAACTGCGCCGCTGAGGCCGATTCTTGTGGGCTGTTTTTTTTTATGCGTAACAAGTGCTCAGAAAGACAGTGAGTGTAATGGCTGCTTGGAGATTTATCAGTCCAGAGCACCTTGCTGCTACCAGGTGCACAAGCATATGTTATAGATGTAATAATCCACGGATATTCAGACATTTATATAAGCACACAAAGAAGGGCAGCATGTGCAGAAGAGCTAGGATTCAAAGCCAGCTACTACTGGCACTGGCATTTCTTAGAGCATAAATTAAAAAAGTCACTTGCTTCAAGTCCCATACTGCAGACATAACATATTTGATACATACTGCAGTAACTTTATTACAAAGCATTAAATATCCATCTTGCTTTATCGTTGATCATTTTTGGTAATGATATCTTCCAGATGAAGAAAATTTGCTACACAGAAAATGACAAAGGAACAAGACAGGTTAAAATAAAATGTTAAAATAAATGAATACAAAGCACAAAATTGCAGTACATACATTATCAGATTTTTATACTGGTCCACTTGACTGCAACAAATAGAAACCTTTATCCTGTGTGTGACTAAATGCTATGGTGTTGCAAATATGTGCGCCATTGTAGTATACAAAAAAGGTCACAATAATCTGTTAGAGGGTCTGTGACAAAAATGAACTATTGGCTGCTAAGGGTCTGTGGGGTAGATGGATGGTTTAACCTTGTTTGTTTCTTCAGAGAGCTTTGTATTTCATCTAAACACTGAGAACACCCTTGCCTGAATGGTTCAAACAATACAGGTGCAGCTTTGGCTCAACTGAGGTTCAGGTGGGATACTATATTTTAAGACTGATTACATTTAACAAGTATTTAAAGCCCTATTCGGATTATCTGGGAGAGTATTTCTAACAGTAAGATCAGCAGCAATGAGACAATGGGAGAGCAACGAGCAGAGATTCCCACTGGCAATGCTCCAGTATATATTTAGTCATCTATCCCAGTGAGTACAGTATATCATGGGCAGTCTTCGAGTCTCAGTCTTTGTGTGTGGATGCATATGTGTGTACATGCACAAGGGCATGTAACCCGGATCAGTTTCTCTTTTCCTTCCTCTTTTTATTTGATTTTTCCTCTACCTCATTCATCCCATCCCACTCTTGCATTCTTTGACTTTTTTCCCCCCTAACTAGCAACACATGATTGTTAAAAAAAACGTATCAAATGCTCACGTTCCAGTAGATGTGGTGATAAAATCCCTGACTGGGATTATAAACCTGTTTTTAAATTAGCATTAGATGGCATAAGAGAGTCCAAATCAGTTTTATTACCTTCTTAAAATCAAGGGTGCAGAGTTTGGCCTTCTCCCCAAACTGCCATTTGCATTGTGTGTCTGCATCGTACAGCTCGCCAGGCAGCTTCTCAGGGTATTGATACTCTGTGATTGCTCTTGGTTCATCTGATAGGCACAAAGCCTGGGCAGAACTGGGGAATTTGATAGGGAGATAGCAAAGGAAAAGCACAAAAAAGAGTTAAGTAGCTGGCATATGAGACTGCCTGCTGTGCACATAGAAATTCCAAAAGCGAGCATCACTCCACGTGTTCCATTGTTCCCAGCACAGTGAAAACTGTAAAGTGTAGCTATGGTAACATAACAAGTTGGCAAACTCAAAACCTGTGGGTAATGTTTTAATGCATCAGACACTCAATTATGACAGACATAAAAAGTCCTTGCCCATATCGCTCATATCCTAACACCAGCAGGGGGTTTCCAATGTTAACTGATATCACTGGTTACTATACAGCGATGTTTTACAGCTTAAACGCTGCAGTCGGGGAATATAATACAAGAATATGGTGGAAAGAGCATGAAAAGGCAAAATATGCTGGAATGGTTCATTGTGTTAGTGAGTGGTCCTGATTGCTTTAGCAGAGTGTATGAGTGTCTGTGTGTGTATATGTGAGATCTTCCATTGCTTTATGGGCCCTGTGTGTCTAAAGAGAACAATGTCTGTTCTACAAGTGCAATATTCTGGTATTCTACATTATTCACATAATATGGTTTCTGAAAAATACATTACATTCACAGTACTGTGTAATCACACACATCAGCAAGGACTCAAGTAAAGATTGGGAGGACTTAATGTAATTCACAAGTAAAATTACAAAATGATTTGTAGGATCTCTTGAGGGCAAGAGGCTTAAGACAAAATTTACCCCCTCCCTAAAAAATGTACACAAGATTCTCATCAGCTAAAGATAAAAAAGCATCCTTTCTTTTCTATGATTCCCTCAGGATCTACAGGCTCACCCCATCCAGACCGAGGGCTATTTATATCTATCTATTTTTTTGTTGGCACATAAAACACAGACAGCAAACTGCTGAAAAAAAAAATCATAAAAGGTTTAGATAAGACTGGTCACAAGCAGACTCATAGCTGAAGAACATTTATCTGCAAGACTTTTTGATTAGCATTGCTGAGTGTCAACCAAACATATCAAACAAACCAGCGTCCAACAAACATACTGTAAACACATTTTATGTTTACAGTATGTTCGCTGCTTGCAAACTTCCTATTAGCTTAATTTTAAATTAAGTCCGTAAGTAACAAAGTCTGTCTAACTGCATTTCTAAAACGGAAACATTTTGCATGCTGTTTGTCATTTGATTATTATGACTGACAAGATATAATGTAGTATATCTGATTTACAGATGGAAATGATTGGTTTTATTACTTTAGCATAGCCGGCCAAGCAGTTTCCCTGTCCTAGTTTTTAGGCTGAGAAATGCTATGCTAAATTAAGATAAGCTAACTAGAAATTGTCACAATCTGCAAACCTTGTAGAGACTTTTTCTGCAACTCTGATCGAGCTTCTTCTTCATTCAGCTGCTCCCATTAGGGGTTGCTGCAGTGGCTTGCATCTCACCCTATCTTTAGTATCCTCCTCTGTCCTCTGTCTCCTCTGCATGTCCTCTCTTTGTCCAGAAATCTTTCCTGTGCTCTTCCTCTTTCCCTCCTGCATGGAAACTCCATATTCAGCTCCCCCTGTTTAATGTACCAAGTTTCTCTTCTTTGCACATGCCCAAACCATTTCAGCCTTCCACTCTAAAACTTTCTTTCCAAACTGCAAATCCTGAGCAGTCCATCTAATATACTCATTTCTAATCTGGTCCATCCTCGTCACTCCTAGTGAAAATATTAGCATGTTCAACTCTACCACTTCTGGTTGGCTTCTCGTCTTTTTGTGTGCTACTGTCTCCAAACCAGACATCATAGCAGGTCTCACTACCATCTTATAAACTTGTCCTTACACTTTTGCTATTATCCTTCTGTCGAAAATCACCCCTGATACTCCAGCCACTACACCCTGCCTGCACTCTCTTCTTCACCTCTCTTGTGCACTGTCCGATGCTTTAGATGGCTGACTCGTCCACCTTCAGTACATGTCCTGCATCACCCTCACATACTTCACTGCTACTCCCGACATCCTCGTATAATACCACAACTCCTCTCTTGGCATTGTATCATATGGTTTCTCTAGATCTACAAAGACAGTGCAACTCAACTTTTCCATCAACACTCTCAAAGCAAACATCACATCTGTAGTGCACTTCTCTGCCATGCTGCTGCTCACTAATCATCACCTCTCTTCTCAGCCTAGCTTCAACAACTCTTTCCTAGAGCTTCATGGTATGCCCTATCAGCTTTATCCCACTGGACCTACTACAGCTTTGCACATCACCCTTGTTCCTGCAAACTGGCACAGTACACTTCTTCTCGATTCCTTACACATCCTCTCATTCCCCAGGCTTGTGCTAAACAATGTGGTTAAAAACTCCACAGCCCTTTCTCCTAAACATCTCTATACCTCAACAGGTATGCCATTTGGACTACCTCTCCTTGTGCTCTTCATCCTCTTCATAGCTTCCCTCACTTAGTCCCTACTGCACTTCACTACCTGTGCTCCATCCATCCATTCCTGCCCTCTCATTTTCTTCACTCCTCAGCTCCTCAAAGTACTCTTTAGACCTGCTACACATCCTTTCCAGCTTGATTTCTCTGCCTAATCAGTTGCTACAAATGCTTCACTCCTTCCTTAAACTCTCAGCAAGGAGCTAAATAAGCACATTTCTCAGAGGAATCTGAGAGAGAAGGGGATCTTGAAGCTTTCTGGTTGGTTTCACCAGCTTCAACAACAAAAACAACTTCAAGTGGCTTTTAAGGAATTTGCTTTCACTGACGTGAAGATTATCCATCCATGTTAGGCATGGAGGGATAAAGCATCTGACCATGCGTACAGTCCGGCCTGTCTGTCATGGCTGACTGAAGAGAAGTAGATCTAGAGTGAGTGTAATATAAACTCTGCTGGCTGACATAACGCTTCTCTCCATAGCAGATGAAGGAGACACTGTGGAGTCTCATGATTGCAGCTAGGAAAACATACAACATTTCAGCAATAATATCATTCAGTAATAATGCAAGATGACGACTCCTTGATGGTTTAATGTTTCAGCGCTCTCCTCCATGTGACCTCAAGAGGTGATGGGAGTTTAATATAAAACTGACAGCTCTAACGAGGTTGAGGTCATCCCAGCTCTAATAACTCAGCGAGGAAATACACTGTCTGTCTCCGCCACTCTGAGAGGGGAGACCTGACAGTTCAGCTAACACACGGGTAAATTTAGTGGTGGGCACTGACTCTGAGCTATCTAGTTTCAAGTATACACGCACACAGACACACACACCTACATCCACAGACAAATAGAAACATGTCCAGACACATGGGCGCGTTGTCTGTGATGGCTGTTTTCCCGCTTGGGAGAGCAGGCTATAAGCAGAACAGTGCACAAACCAACTGCCATGCAAACTTACGGCTTTTACAAGCATGCATCTTGATGCACAATAAAAGTGCATTTTGTAAAAGAGCACTAAGAGAAACGTAGGACCATACTTCGCTTAAATTAGCTGCTATGGTAACTACATTCTTTACTTAATTGCATGTAGCCTCTTGTTCATTCAAAGCTTTAAAATTGCTTTTGAAATATAAAATCTTTTACAGGTTTTATATAGGTAAAAGTACAATTTTTCACTTGACACATTAAAAATAAAAAACACAATGAATGCATGAATTAATTAAGTGGCCAGTTTGAAAAATGTAGTTGTTGTGTTTGTTGTGTGAACTCTAACAAAAAGGCAGACATGAAAATTCTTAAAAACACTAGTTTAATTTCTTTTAGTCAACACAATGAAAGTTAAAAAAAAACCCCAATTGCTTACTTGAGGAAGCGGCTGAGGTACTGACGGCTGCAAGCAGACCAGGAGAAGACACCGTTGTGACCAGCTAATGTGGGAGACATGATGTTGCCTTCTGACTTTTTACAAACATTCCCTTCACCATCATGGACCATTCCAAAACTGGAGAGTTAAAAAAAAGAGATTTTTATCTACAAATTCAGGTGACATAATCATCTACTTCACATGTAACAAATGCAGAAGTTGTCATTCTAATAGATTATTTATTTTTACATGAATTAAAACAAATTTTGGTACATTTTTCATTTCATTGTCGAACAAGGTTGAACGAGGCTGAATGTACTTTGGAAACCCTTACTTGTGTCCTGATTCATGGGCGATGGTGAATGCCAAACCCAGGCCAGTGTCCTCATTAATGGTACAGCTGCGGTATTTGCTACACATCCCGCTAATTGGCGCAAACCCTGCAAAAGAAGTGATAGATTTTTGTTTTTGCAATCTTTAATACAAGTTTTATTCTTCATTAGTTTAAAAAAGCCATTCCAAAAATAACTGTAATTGGTTAGTTTAAATAACTGCTGTCAAGTTGCTTCTTCTCAGCTTTTTAACTCTACATTGCAAGAGAAATTTCTCAAACGATACGCACTGGTGTGAATTTGTGGAGGGCACATGTCGGAAATATCAAACAACATCAGTGAATTCAAATCCTTCCATATGATAACATATGGTGCTCTATATAGTCACATATGCTACCTTTTACTTCACTTTAAAACATTCTTTCCCTATCTTCACATATTTCTCATATCTCTCATTCTCAGTTAAACTCTTTTATAGTACTCAGCTCCCTTTATGCCTCTCTCTGTCCTCTCTCCTCCTGTCTCTCACATTTACAGCAACCTCTGGCTCTGAATCAAAAAGGCTAATCCACACGAGAGCCTCCCTTAACGTTTTTTCCTTAGAGTTTCATGGCGAATTTGGCCTTAAATATTGTTTGATTTACATCTCTAAGTCTTTGCCACAGAGTGGCTCATGTATATAACTAATGTGAGCAATGATATTAAATATAACAAGGGAGATTAACTGTGAGAACTACCATTTATTTCTTTTTTGTGTTAGGAAAGAGGTAGGTCATTGATATTATATGACAGTTTTGAAATATGAATAAAAACATTGAAGAATAGGGCTCTAATAGTAATCCAAATAAACAGTGAATGGTTGTGCTAATGCCTATTTTACATTGTACTTCTGGGAATTAGAAAGCACTGATTCTTATTTTGACTGGACAGACACACAAACACACACACACACACACACACACACACCTTTTATCTAAGCTTGCACAGCTGTATGGATGAGGCTAGTGCTGGTTTCGACACTTTATTGTAAAATCTTAGGTCTGGGGAAGTTACACTCTTGTGTTTTTCTGGTGCAAAAAAGGGGAGTTTTTTTCTCACAGTGTGGAAGATAAGAATGTGTTTGCACAGTCATTACCCCAAATAAGCTTCTGTTATTGTGCTAGGTGATGCACACTCACAGAGACAGCGTGTGTCTGAATGCTCAAGCCAGCTGAGCTTAGTCTATGTAGAAAAACACTAAGCACTCTAAACTAAATGAAAACCTGATAATGTGTCCACTTTCTGAATTTCTATCTGGGTTTTCTGTTATCTCTGTTAAATACGGTTGGCTAAAAAAAAAAATAAAAAAAATAAAAAAAATAGATATTCGGATACTAATTATCACTAAATACTTAATTACTATTGCATCAGATGAACTGCGGCATGATATAGCACTGATATCAACAGTGTTATCTTTGTCTCACCTAGCTAACACACAACTTCACACAACATGCTGAAGGCATGTTGCTGCTTTACTAGCAGCTGAATATGGTGCTATTTTTGTGCCACTATTCTGAGCGCACGTAAAAAAAAAAATGCAGGTGCAAGTGTTGCATTTTGAGGAGAAATTTATTTTGAGCGAAGAAAAGCTAAATTTGAGTGAACAAAATTCGTTGCTGCGTGCAAAAAATTTATATCCATACACACACACACACAATAGCAGCCCCTCTCGCTCAGTTTTTGCATTTGCGCTTGCATGTAATGTGTTGCTGCGCTCTCAACATTTCTACCCGTGCGCGCTCAACTCTTTCTCTACACCGTTATATTTGTGCCACAAAACCAGCCAATCACAGACTTGGATGCAAAAAAATCTGACTGGCTGTTTTGGTCTCCAATCAGCTCGAAATGACGAAATGCAATATCCCAGAATCCATTTCGCCCAGAACTCAAACGAGGCAGTGGCGGAGGAACACAGAGTGGCGGAGTTTGAAATATTACTCTGGGTCACAAAATAAACTTTTAAGATATTTTCATGCGAGAATGGTGCTGTGTGAACTTCAAATATCTGCTCGATTTATCAAGACATCACATATTTGCATGAATTTTGTTCACTCAAATTTAGCTTTTCTTCGCTCAAAATAAATTTCTCCTCAAAATGCAACACTTGCACCTGCACCTGCGCTCAGAATAGTGGCACAAAAATAGCGCCATAGCTGAACAGGTCCATCACAGCAGTGAACAACACTTTATGAACAATTTCGTGAGGTGAGTAAAGCCCCCTTTTTCAACAATAATTAAGCTCTAAACAGGTAGCACAAATGTCAGCCTGGCCAGCACACACAATTAACTTATAGCCGCATTAGCTGTCTCTTAATGATCATTAAGGTAGCAGCTAGCAGCTATGGCTATTATTGGAGCTAGGCGGCAAAATCACTTGTGCCTGTATAACAGTGTTTATTTATTAATTTAAGAGGATTTCGCAATTATTTGTTTCTTGTAAAGTCCCTAATTAAAGCTGTGAGAAGTCTAAAAGTAGACAGAAACAATGGCAGCGTACCTTACCAACAATATTTGATCAGTAATGAAAACATGGTACCAAATCACCAGAAATACAAAGTACCCCAAACAGCCTAAAATTGTTGTTATTGTTTTTTGATCGGATACTGATAACTGGTAATACATTTATAATAAATCTGGATTCAACATAAAGTTAAAAACTAAACATAAAAATAAAGAAGATGATAGATTTTGCTTTCCAGGTTAAGGTACACTGAGCAAATATGATGGATCGGTGTATTGACAGGATTGTTTATTGCCTCAAATGAGGCCTTCTGGCATTTGGTTGTTGCAGAATCTGCTCTTTTGTGATTTACAAGCAATAGAGCAACAAAGAGGTTTTTAAAGTCATACCAAGAGTATCACAGGGTTCATTCTTCCAAGAGCAGATGTCGAGTCCCGTGAGGAGGATGGCGTGGTCATGGTGCCGGCCCTCTCTACCTCCCAGGGTGGACTGCCAGTGGCAAAAGCTGTTCAGTGTGTGGTCTGCATGGTGGTTGATTACTAAGCCATTCTGTGACATAAAACACATAAAAAGATATGATGACAGTATTAACTTCATTAAGGTAAAGCATTATTATCCATATATTTACTGCCAACTTACAGATTCTCTCTGGGTCTTTATAATCAATAACCAAGATCCCTTAGACATATAGCATGCATATTGATAACAACATAAAGGCTTACACATTTTCTTTTGTGTACAAAGGAAAACGTCTGTGAACATTTTTGTATTTTCACCATTCCTCCTGCTTATAAATACTTAATTTTAAAATCTATGAAGTGGCTGGAAAGTCTAAGCCATTGTTCTCAAGCTGCTTTACTTTTCCCAACTGTACCCCAACAGTTTGTCTCTCTCTGTCTGTGTCGCTCATTTACTCCTAGACTCCATGAGAATTTCCCCTGTGGCACAGATCCAGGGAAATACATGCTCTATTTAAACTGTAAAAGCCCCTAGTTGTTACAACAGCCCCAGGAAGGTTTTGGAAGGACCAAAAAGATCTGGAACCTCAGGCAAAACAAACAAATAAACATACAAATGATCCTTTTTTGCATTTTTTTTGCCCCTTGGTATGTACAGCTAAAGAACATGGTAACATATTGTTAGTGTGTAGGGTTGAGTTGTCTGGGTGAATGATGATTCTGACTAAAAACTGACACGCTCACCTGTTCTTCATCCAGGAGGACGAGACCCACAATCACTATGTTGATATTTCCCCCTATTGTGCCATCTTTGAACAGACTTGAGACCTAAAAGGCAAACAGACAATCATTATGACGTATTACTAGAGCATCTGGCATTTGTCTAATCCATCTCAAGTAATGTTTCAAACTCATGTAATTTGAGACATAAACTACATGTGCATGAGTAATTTTACAAAGTTTAAAGTGGCTTGAACGTGACCATCAAAGTGACATCTGAAGTACTCGCCTGTTTATACAAATGCAGGACCTGTCATTAAAAACTGTTACTGGTACTCGAAGAGGATCTGATTAGTACAATCTAGGCTGATGTGTTAAAATGTCCTTAACTTATATTTATGCACCACTCCCATAATATGACTATGAGGGTTCGCTGTATGCCTTTCTCTAAGACCTCGCAAATACATCTTTAGGAAAACTCATTCATTTCCCTCTTTTCGTCCTGCTTTGCGCTGACTCACAGGAAGACACATGGCCGTGGTTTGTTGCAGAAAGGTCAGGGAGGTCATCAAAGAGCTCACTTAAACTAAGCTATGCTGAAAGCTGAGTGTTTGGCAGGCTGTCAGATTTCTGAATTGATTAGAGCAATGAATCCCTATATGCTTTTACATATAGGAATAAAGTATCACACCTGTTTCCACAGATCTGTAGTGTTTTGTGATGCATAGTGCACTGCATGTTTTTTTTATGCATGTTTTTATGATTTTTTTTGTCTTTCCACTGTCACTGTGAAAGCATAATTCTATACAAAGCTAAAGAGCTTATTAGATTTCCTTTCCAACAAATATTAAATGACTTTTGTAAGCCCCATGAGGGCTGGCAGGTGGTGTGAAGCGTTGGGTATTTTCTGTGAAACCCCATATAGTATTTAGGTGACTCCTATGAGGCCGGTGACTGCTCTGACTTTGTTTTTACTACAGGGAACTATGTTTTCAAAATAGATGGATTATCTTTGGATTTGTCAGTCAGTCATTAAGTAGCAAAACAAGTGTGACGGTATTCGCTTACAGATAAGCTGAGAGGAATGGAGGGGGACACTGCAAGCGTTGTGGAGATGATCTCACCCAGATATCAGTTTCCTGTTTTAAGATCTCTGATAAGTTAGTCTAGCAGACAGGATTGTCAAGTAACTAAATCCTTGCTTCAAATAAATTGCATGGCTTCCTCTTTCATCAGCTGATGTTATGGTGTATAATAGCAAAAAAAGCACAGCATCCTAAAACTTCATTTGATGATGTGACTGCAAAGTTACACCAGGCTTTGTGGTTCTGCTGTTAAAGCCACTTGTAAAAATACAAGACAATGATTATTCTTAAAAAAACGAGTCAGCCTTAAGGTTGATTTATGTAACTCCTGTCTTGAATGTGTGCTGCGCCCATGCTAGCCTATAGGCAGAGTGCACATCAAACACAGTGGTAAAGACTAAATTTGTCTCACCATGTTAAGCACAGTAAGAACATATGTAGTTATGTTCTCATGGCCATGGTTGTCCATCATCTTTCTGTCCACCACCACAAGTGTCTCCACATTGAGTCCCTGGTTGGCCTTGTTCTTCATCAGCACTGCCCTTTTATTCCTGGGGATAAACTTGTATTCATCTGGAAGGATAAAAATATCCTCTTCTGGAGGTTTCGGCATGTCTGTGAAAACAGATGGAAAAAGATATAGAGTAAGAATTCATTAAGTAATAAACTGGTCTGAAGCAAAATGATGTAGTAACAGCTGAACAACCTGAACGGAGCATTACTCAGTGATCTATGGCTGCACAGTTAACATGATGAACTACTGTATGGAAGCTTCCGAGTGACTGATGAAAGCCCAAACAATAGCGCATATAATAGCGCCTTAATTGCAGCCATAATGTCCATGACAAATGCAAGCCTTCCTTTCCATTGCTGATTACATTTGCAAGTGATTTGAAATACATTTGTAGCCACTGGCCAAATGTTTACCTTTGCTTATGTGTGCTAACCAGCGATTCTGGCAAATAGCTGGCAACAGCTCTGGATGATTAACCGTGCTCTTACTTTTGTGACCTGATGTCATGGATAAACTGCCAACTGTGCTTTTTTTTTTTTTTTTTACTGTTGTTGACTCTGGCAGTCTCAATGTTATGCTACCATTAAGTGTGAAATCTTATGTGTTCTGCCTTGCAGTAGCTACAGTTACATAAAGTAACAATATTTAAAACAATCGACTATATGAAATATTTACATGTTGAAAGCACACACATTCATCTGAAATGTATGTGCTTCCAGAGCTGTTTCATATTCTATAGACATGTAACATAAATATAGTGTATTTTTGTCCCAAAATGATGTTTTTTTTGTTTATTTGTTTATTTAGTACTAATGAAAGGCTGTATTATGAAAAAGATTTTGTAACTTTTGATGAATTGAAGCTTGCTATGTGAATCTGGGAGTAAAAGCACCTTCGAACATTCAGATTTGAACTATGACATAAAGTAGAACACCTGTTAGTGCAAAAGCACAGCATGCAACCATAGTATCTTGTAACGTTATCTTCTTAAGTCTTATTTTCAGTGTTTTGATAGGTTATCAAAATTTTGACCTGCTCATCGCTGGCTTAGGTAATCTATAAAGGCTAGAAAGTCTGCTTATACAGGCGGAAAGCAGGTGAATGACCAAAGTGCCCTTCGACGAACACACAACGCAGGTGTTCGGTGATATCATCTTATAAAAATGCAAACATCATTGTGTTTTCATAGGGACATACAGCTGCTCTCGTTTGAAAGACCCCCGTGATGCAAGCAATGTTAACGGATCTTGTGGTAATTTCTTGAGAGCAAACATTTGTCATAGTGCAAAGTAAACAGAAATTATAAGAATTAACCTTTACTTATAAAATCAACCACAAATGTCTAAATAAATACATGAAAATGATGATTGTTCGAGGAATCAGCTAATCATGAATGAGTGTTATTGTGTTTAAAGATTTTCAGTCTAAGACAATCTGCTTTACAACATTTACTATCCCCATGTTGTGTAAGTGACAACACACTGCTGATTGTCTCCTTTACATAAAAAGGGGCTAATGTCTTAACAATATGTGAAACCCAAGTCAACATAGAATGTGTTGTCTTTAATCTTGTGTTACAATTTAAAATGAGACACAGCTGCTGTCCAATTTTCACAAGTATTTGTGAATGTTTGCTGCACAAATATGATGATATTACCATCATTAAATAGCAATTTGATGCTTCCACCAGCCACCCTCGTGAAGCTGTTACAAACAGAGTAAACCACAAATGTAAACACATGTAATATTATCGAAGGGTAAGAAGGTTATTTAGTAAGTGTTAAGTGTTTTCATATGAAAATCTGAAAAGGGCAAAAATGACTTCATGGCTTTTTTTTTTATAAGTAAATTAGTAAAAAGTGATCCAATATCAAATCCACCCTAAATCGGAGAATATGTGAGTAAGGCTGACCTCAAAATAAAATAACATTGTTTGGTTCTTAAACACTTAGGATGTCACCAATCCAGAAAAGTTTTGTATAGTATTTTTTCCCATTTTACTAATCTTAATGTTCTTTGCATTCTTCGTTATTTAATACTGCTTTTAAAGCAATTATCAATCTTGGTAATTGCTTTAAAAGCAGAATCTTGAATTACCAATTCAAATTCTTGATATTTCCAGTCCAAATTCTTCTTCTTGCCAAAAAAACTAAGACAAAGCAACAAAGGAGAGTTAAAAATAACCCGAACCAAACAAAAAACCCCTTCAATAGTTTGTTTGGTACAGCTGTTACTCTATCTATTACAATCTGGCAGTGCCTAGCCATCCATGAAGCAGAGGATTTATGAGGCTGACTTTAGTTGGCAATATAATAGCCACCTCGTTGTTAAAAACTTTACCTAGCCGCCCAGATTAAGCACTTAAAATGAAAGTTTAGTGGTGCTGTTACTTTCTGTTTGACTGTGAAAACCCAAATACCAGTGAGATTTGGCTAGTTGACACATAATGATCTATGACCACTATAGTCAAGACACATTGTTAGGTTAGCAGTGCTTGCAATTTCTTTTACAAGTTTCAGGGTTAAGGTGAAATTGATTTTAATAAAAACTATGTAAACCGAATTATTAGAGGTTTAAAAGTATTATAACAAGCAAATAGGAAGTTGCAGGAATCAATAATACATGTAAATCTTAAGAGGAATACTACAATGTTACATTAGCATTAGAAGGAGAAATTGCCCTTACATACATTTCTTCCTTCTCCCACAGAAGTGTTGCTTCTGCTTCTCCCCATGTCTGTAGTCGCTGTCATGGCGATGGTCATTGTGCTGTTGGCCACTTCCATGATGTTTTATCAGGTCAGCTTGAGTGTTGCTGTTATTGTTGTCATGCTGTTTTTGCAGTCCCTTGTATTGATGTTCAAACACTGTGTTGTCAGCGGATCTCTTTTGAAGCACATGTTGCCGCTGTGTTTGGGAGTCCCTTTCGCTCTTATAGAGGATGTGTGGCTGATGACCGAAGGGCGCTGTGAAGTTCTCCATCTGCGCCAAGCCGTGTGACACGGGTCTCAAGAAATATTCTGCATCCTGTGTTTGGATCAAACCTGACTAGAGGCAAAACAGAGAGTTTGATTAGCTTTACAGCACAACCTGTTACCTAGGCTGCACTAATCTACTGTTGCACCCATGTTGTCTACACTCAAGCCACGTGGAAAACCCTCAAAAAAAAATCATTCTCAGGCCAAACAATCTTGAAAAAAGAGGGTCTCGTCCCAACTTTTTTGTGAAAAAATATTTAAACGTGACCCAATAATGAAATATTGTTTGCTAAAACCTCAAAAGTTCACAAATTCTTTTCCACTGAAAAAGGCCCAAAGGGCTGCAGTCATATATTTTAATGATATTATACGATAATTACTTTCGCCAGCTTTTCATTTAGCTACCCAGTCTGCCTCTTTTAGCAATTAGTCAAGGTTTGACCCTTAGTCGCTCTGAACCCGCCTCCCTTAAACCTCTTTAGGTCACTGGCCACGTTTCATCATGTTTAACATCTGTTTTACTGTTCAGGGTCAACCGTTATCTCACCTAAATTTAAACCAAACTTGGTCAGACAGAATGATTTTAAACCCAATGGGCTGGTGGCATAAACATGATATATGCTGTATAGCATGTATGTAAGAGAAGCTCTTAAGAGCCCATTTCCAGCTCTGTTTATCCTGTGACATCTTTAATACAACATGGAATACGAGAATGGGCGACATGAACATCCTCAGCAGCAACAATTTCCTTTTACTAAATATGAAGATCAATATGTGCTTTTTTGGTGCCACAGCATTACTTAGACATTCAGTTACAGGTTGCTTTTGTAAAAGGCCAATTAATATGGCCACTTGAAAAAGAAAGTTTTGAAAGAAAGTGTGGGTACAAAGTAAAATGGTAAATGGTAAATGGCCTGTATTTATATAGCGCCTTACTAGTCCCTAAGGACCCCAAAGCGCTTTACATATCCAGTCATCCACCCATTCACGCACCCATTCACACACTGGTGATGGCAAGCTACAAAGTAAGTACAGTACCAGCTGTTAGGGGCTACTAATTAAATTAATTAATCTGAATTGCTGGCACTTTCCTGACCTGGAGGTCAGGTCAAAATGGGTGATGCAACAGGGTAAAGATCCCAAGCATAGCAGGAAATCTGCAACAGAGTGGTTAAAAAAGAAAAGAATCAAGGTGTTGCAGTTGTACAGTTAAAGTTCAGACCCCAACAAGGTTTAAATCCTTTGGCAGGACCTTAAGAAAGCTGCGGATAAATGAATGCCTATAAAGTTGTAAAGAAGAGGGCCAAATTTCCTCCACAAAAGTCTTAAAGAATTACTTCAGGTTAACGCTGCCAAAGGTCATTATGCACGCTACTTAATAATGGGGTGTACTTAGTTCTTCAAGAATTGCATAGAATCTTGTGAAATGCTTATTTTTCACATGACTGTCAATATATCTGCACATATTTAAGGACACAGCAATTTTCATTTATAAATGTTCTAACTGGGTCAGTCTGAATTGTAGCAGTGGCATGTTGTTATTAATCTCAGTGGATAAACTGAGTCAAAAGCCTTTTTGAATCTCTACATTTTACAGTGACAATTATTCACAATATTCTTTTAAGCTGACCTTATTCTCGCTTTATTTTTCCCTCTATCCCTGTCTGTGTCAAAGAGACATTTCAGCTTTCATATTCAGCTTTTCAATAAACTTCTATCAACACAAAAGATTCAGACAGTTGGAGATGGTTTCTCTTGCTCTCTTCTTCTCTTTTTCACTCTCAGTCTCTCTAAACATGCACCACATTTGTGATGACAGTCAGTTGGCATGTAGTGTTTGTACTTTAACTGCACTTGGCAGTTACAACCATTTCCCTAAAATATGTTTAAATGACTACAGTCGCCACTGCTTTTTTTCTTTCATTTTGTTTCACTGTGAGTGGAGTATGAGGCCCTTCATCCCTGCAGTCAGATGCTGGCTAACACAGACACAGTGACACAGTTGCAGTGGTGAGGTAGTGAGTGTGTATTAATGTGTCTTTGTGTGTGTATGTGCATAAGTCAGTCCTTACACAGTACAAAGTGGAAGTTTGTGTGTGAGACAAAACAGTGGGAGAGACAGCTGGAAAATTAGGGCTCATAAATGTGAAACTCAAAAGTCTGCATGTGTGGATGTCTGCAGATGTTTCCATATCTCTAAGTAGGGGAATCTCTGGTAGCAATAAGTTAGACTCGCAGGAGCAAATTTCAAACAGTGATGTCTTTCATGCTGACAAGGTCTTCAGAACCAATTTTTTCATCATCACTCATCAACCTGGGCCGTTTACCCTTCATACAGGTCAGAGAACTAGCGAAGCAGAGTCTATGGAAAGTACCGCGTTGAGCTTTGCATGCGAAAACTATGAGGTCGATACAGATGTGTCAGCTATGACCACAATGACCATGCAGTTTACAGCTTTCATCACATACTGTAGTAAAAAAAGTTATTGTCAGTACTGTGCATTTATGAAGTAATTATCATGATTGGTTCTACAGCTGTCAGAATGGCGTATTCCTTGCAATATTATCAAATTATGAATATTAACACAGGTAAATGAAAGAATTATATATCCAACTGACCACATGATTCCTAGAGTGTGACATTAATGGTAAAATGGGGTAGAGGGGCAGGCTGCTGGGGTACTTTTCAAATCCTACTGTCAAGTTGTATGCTCAAGCCAGAGGAGAGCAGTTGTTATTTACAGATGTCCCATATTCAGATAATGATCATTTCCCACTATACAGTAACTGGTGTTTCACAGATGAAAGCTACCTACAAACAGCAACACTATATGGACACAAATGTAGGCCTAGACTGCTTAGTCTTTGAATTCAGCTGTTTTCAGTCCCATTGCCACGAGTGTAAAAGTCAAGCACTTAACCATGCAATCTGCTTTTGCAAAAAAATTGTGGCTCGTTTTAAAGAGCTCACTGAATTCGAGCATGGTACTATAATAGGAAGCCACCATTGCAAGAAGTCAGTCTGTAAAACGTCTTCCTTTCTAGATATTCCACAATCAACTTTAAGTGGTATTTTTGCAAAGTGGAAGCGTTTAGGAACCACAGCAACAGCCGCAAAGAGCCAGACCACGTAAAGTTGTCGAATGCTGAAGCGGAAAATGCGCAACGGTCGCCAACGCTCTGGTGACTCAATAACTGCAAAGTTGCAAACCTTCTCTGGCATTAACATCAGCAAAACATTCCATGCCAGAAAGATGAGGGTGCGTGATCAGTTATTGAGGGAAAGAAAGAAGTGAGAAAGAGGCTTACTAAAACGTTACCACCTTCCACCATTGCTGGCCCGCCAACGGTCAAGAAATACCCCAGCCAGGATTGTTGCTTATATCACATGTGACAACCGGTGCGTGATTCCACATGGCACCCGCCCCGGCGCTGTGTAATCACAGACAATTGTCAACAATTGGTTCCAAGTCACGATGAGGCCTCTGACCTGAACTGTGCTGCCGCCAACCATCAGAACTTCACATGCTAAGTATTTATTTTTTCTGTGTGGGTGGTTCAGGGATTGAACACTGGGGCATTAGTGTGGTGATATGGTAAAGCAGCTCTACAGGGGAAAGACTGCCAAGAACATTTAAAAAAATCCCTTTTCATCATTTTTGTTGTTGTTGTATGTGGTTATTTTTAGTCAATCCATTGCAATGAACAAGACAGTCAAGAAAGGAAACCTATTGAGTGAGAGAACATCAACCATAGGATTTAAACCTGCAGCATGTGTACTGACTGTTTAGCTTGCGGTTGTTATAGAAACAGACATCTTTTGATAGCTAATAGCAGTAGTTTAGACAGCGCAGGGAAATCTGGCTGACATTCAGTCTAAAAAAGAACTGTATCTACAGAGAAGATATTTTCAGAGCTGCACTATTTAAATTTGACTTATTTGCAGCTGTATGTTGCCAACTTTATAAGTCATGTGGTTAGAAAAAACCTTTAATTTCCACTTTTGTTTACATTTGCATATGATACTTCGCTGTAACAGCATTTACAATACAATACATGAAGCAAACAGTTCAAGAGCAAGTGGTTCGCCATTTCAACCGAAGCCAAAGGCTTTCCACTGGAGACATGTCAGCAAGCATGAACAACAAGATAGCTATGGCCACATTTCAAAGTGACAGTGTTCACTCTTTTACTCTTTTACTAAAGTATCTTACAGTTTGTGTATACTGGCTGCTTTGTCTTTTCAGCATTGCTGTAACACAGCGGTTCCCAGATATCTGTCTACACATATACGAAGGGATTTTTGGAGCTGACCATGGTAGCTTACTGCCATGTCATGGCATTTCAATATTTTGTCTATGCAACTTCACTTTTTTTCCCGGGTCAAATCATCAGTGTCGCTTTAATATTTTAAAAGAGCGCATGAAAAGCTCTTTCAAAGCCAAGTTAGGGATGAGCAGCTAATATGCTTGTGTCTGGAGCTCCATCATAAAAAGGACCATGAGTCACACCTCCACATATTATCCTGTTTCCTCTCATCTGCATTTTGTCACATAGACTGAAAGGACTGTTTCTCTGGAAGGATAGATCAATGCATCTCATTGTTTTACAAATGCTGTCAATGTAATTTGTCCTGTGCTTCAGATATCCAATCCAGATGTTGATGCCACAGTATTTAACTGTTGGCTGTGAGCTCTTCTAAAATATGCTGATTTCATTTTAAGTGTTCTATTACTGAATACATCAAGTTTCAGTGACAGAAAACTAGACACGCAGAGGTGTTGTACTGTGTGTGCAATGAATTTAAACAAAGCTAAAGGATGTCGTTACTCAGCTAACGGCCAACAGACAAAAACAGATCATCTTTTTTATGTAGTTTTTGAGTTGAGCACAAACAACATACATGCACTTTCTTTAATTTCATACGTACGAGAGCGTGTGTGTGCAGGCTGCTATGTTAAGAGATTAGGTCACACTGGTCCCTTTCCTAAATAGCCAAAGTCATCGGATTACACAGTACGCAGTATGAAGTGCAAATAGCAGTCATAAAATGCTGAAATACTACTTGGG